AAGCTACACACAATATATAATTTTCATTCATGCTGTCATAGTATCAGTCATGCGTTGCTTATGTGGTAGGTAAGGGCTGGGGTCTGAAGGGGGCGTTCGATTGGAAAGTTTGTCTTCGGACATAAAATAGAGAAGAAAGAAAAGGGGAATGCCAGAGGGGAGAGCCAAGGAAGCAGAGTAAACACAACGCTTATATTTATACACACTTCCGTTGTGTCAATTATGAATTGCTTAGAATGTGGGGGAGTAGTGGGGTTGGGGGGAATGGGGAGGGAAGGGGTGGGGGGGGGGAGGGATTTGAAGAAAACATGTCTATTGTTCTCATCTTGTTTCAATGGTCGTCTTTGATGATTGACTTCTCGAAAGAATAGGATATTTAACTAGAGTCAGGTGTCACCCAGTTACAGATCGTTATAGTTGCAGTCATTCCTTGTATAATTATTGCAATCACCCTGGAAGCCGTAGCATCACCTAATTCGGAGAGACATAACTGTTCAAGAAGAGGACACCACGAGAATATAATGAACTCTCGAACGAGAGAGTTCAGAGTAAGTGCTTGTACTGTTGCAGTGAATTTCGAGTCTGTTTAGAACGATACCATAATTGTCAACAACCATTAAAGGATAATGAGAACTCTTTTGAGAGCTCGAGTTGTTGAAACTCATATTTATAAGATTGGTCTGCTTTTGCTGTGTATTTCTACTCACGTATGAATGACAAATTCGGAAGGTAGATTTTTTAGAAAATAATGTGAGGTTTGAAATGGAAGAGGCGGGGGTGGGGGTAGGGGGGGATATGAAAATGGTTTTTCCTCCTCAGGATCAAAACGTTTTATAATTCCTGTTATCAATCATATTCACGCTATGAAAAGAATCATTACGGAAGTCGAGACAAAACTACGTATTCTATATCTCTTGTTAGACAAGAGTTCAGAACTGACACGCGGGGCCTCTTGTGGCCTAGAGGTTAAGGTGTACGCCTTTCATTCAAAGGTCCCAGGTTCGAATCCAGGAGCTGCTGGAAAATTTTTCTTTTCTAAAATTGACTCCTTTCACCTTCTTTCCTGCTCTCTAGCAATGTTCTATTGCCTTATTTCGTTTCCACTTTCTGCCCCCACCCCCTCACCTCCTTTGCCCCCTTCTCTGGGATTCTGACTCTTTCTGCAGCCTTTCTACTGCTACTCCTTGGATCCTTCTTTATGCCTTCTGTCAGCCACACCCCTGATCTTCTTGTAGGAAAGATCTACATCTAGCTTTCTCGGACAAGGGTGAAAAGTCTCGGAGGTCCCTTGTGCAAGTTGCGAACGTTAAAGATCCCTTGGTGGTCTAAAATTGATAAGAGTAGGCTTCGGCTGCCACCCGGGCAAAATTCAAAATTTTATATCAGCTGGAAATGTTTAATGTGTCCCGCGTGCTCATATGACCTTATGCAATTGCAAGCGCCGTAAAACACTTAACCCCTCCCCCTAAACAACCCCCCCCCAAAAAAAAACCCCGCAAAAAAACAAACTTACACTAGACGTTCAGAATTTACACGTGAGGCTGACAGGACCAGACAAGGTTTTGCTCTGATAAGTGACAATACTTGTTCGAAGTTTGGTCACTGAAGCATGCACAGGAAATGGAGAGGTTAACTCGTTTCATTTACTTATTTAGTGCATGTGAGCGTACCCAGGCTACTAGAAAGCAAAGTTTAGTTTTTATTACACTTAAAGCGACTTAAGGAACTTGGACATCTTTTTCTTATGGAAAGTTAGAAGGCAAAAGATAGCGTGGAGGGTTAATCGAAGAATAATTTGCATGAAATCGTAAAATTTGAACTGATGGGTGTGTGGAAATGACCAGGATAATTCCGTGGTTCTAAGATAATTCGAGTAAAAACATTGAAGACGGCCTTGTAGGACTATTAAAAATGAGGCAGGGCTTTTTTCGACAGCTTCTCCCTCGTAATGAATTCTCTCCTATAAGAGATGCGCTTTTTTGACTGCATTCAAATCTGGTCTAAAGCAAAGCCATTTTACTGACTAGACTAGTTTTATTCTTCCTCCAGCAGCAGATGTGATCAGTACTTGGGGGCGTCGGTGGCCTAGTGGTCAGGCTACAGGACTCGTAATCATGAGATTGTAGGTTCGGGGGTTCGAGCCGCGGGCCCGACGTTGTGTCCTTGGGAAAGGCACTGTACACGAATTTTCCTCACTTCACCCAGGTGGAAATGGCTGCCCGGCCATAGACAGCGAAAGATTTTGACAGAACATTAGGGTTTTAGCGCCTATAAACAACGCTTTCAATAAGCACAATATTTCGATAAGGGGAAAAAAAGGCTGCTTGACTTGCTTTTAAAAGCGATAATACCCCAGCTGTAAACCTTTTTACTTCTATAAAAATCACATACTAGGATATCTTATTAATTTATTAAGAACTTTACTAGAATACAGCCAACAACTATTTACAAACATATTCATCCATTAAGACAAATTGATACAAGTCATTGTGCAAAAGCT